TCAGAGAGACTGAGCTCGGGTCTTGGAAACGAAAAATATTGTTGTTTGAAAATACTTTTGCTGGTTTATGTAGTAGTATAATATTCCGGAGCATTTAAAAATAATGCGACAAAGTATGTGCTTTGGTAGCACCGTAGTTTTCAAAGTCCACTGATTCGTAAATCATTGAGGATTCCTAGGTTAATAAAGTGAGGCTTCAAGAATCACGTGGGTGGTATTTATTTTTTGTATAATTATTTTCTGTAATCTAAATGTCTGGAAGTAATGTGATATGTTTTCCTAGAAACCCTATCTTGGGCGGAAATGAACGTTCACGAAATATACACAACGAGCAACATGCAGGCTGACTGAACTTGAAAGAATTTTGAATGTGTAGCATAATGAACACAATTATGTGTTCAATTCGTTTAAATGGATGTCCCGTTTGCGGTTTGACTGAAGAGAGACTCAAAAATGTTGTTACATTAATATCAGTCAATGTGTCTGCACACGTTTTCTTGAGTTCCAGAATCCCTTCCCGCCATTATAACTATAAATAGTTCAAAGATGAGTAAAAGTTTAAAATAAATAAATAAAAATATTTTTTTTAAAAGCGCGAGATTAGCAGTATTTGAAAAATAGACATTATCGTTTCCGAGTTATAAAAAATTTATTTGCATCGGTAAACGAATTCCAAGTATGCTTTTTCTGCATTGCTATCAAAATGGTAACTCGCCCTTACCTCTAATCCTACTATTACAAGCAAAAGGAGAGTTCAACAAAACGTGCGGATAGTGAAGCTACATTTACGTCCAAAAGCAAAACAATCTCTGCATTTGCTCAATGGATCAGGGAAACTGGATAAAAACCTGATCGAGATGGGGAAGAGAATTGTGGATATAAAATGGAACCTTGAGGGACCCCATGTTCAATTAGCAATGCATTGGAAAAGTGAGAAAATAATGCCACTTCATTTCAGTACGGTGTTTCTACTCTCTGAGATCATTGTTTAAGGTACGATCATAACCAATCTAGCGTAATACCTCGAATTCGATATGAAGGTAATTGTGAAAGTAAAATATTACGAAAAATGACATCAAAATCTTTTGTGAGATACAAAAATATATGAAGCGCATCTTTAAGAAAAGAAAATATATATTTTCCCTTAGATTTTGATTTTCTAAATCCATTATGGGAATCCAACAACACATCGTATTTACTGAGAAAAATGTCCATTCGTACATACAAAGAGCTTTCTAATTTTTTGAGAAAATTGAAAAATAAATTGACCAATAATTTTTAATTTCATTTTTGTTGCCTTTTTAAAGAGCGATTTCATCGTAGCCGTTTTGAAAATATCTGGAAATGTTCGAGTGCTTAAGGATGATTATAGTGCATGTGAGTTAACGGCTGTATAATGGCAGGAGCAACAAACACTCCGGAAATTCATCTAGTCCCCAGGATTATTAATTTTTGTTTGCCGATTATTTTGAACATTTCATAGGAAGACTTCTCGGAAACAAACATCGTATTGATTTTTGAGAGGAAACCGTCAGATGTTGAATTTTGTGGATTTAGATCATTCGAGGGATCATAGCAATTGTCGAGAAATAGCGGTTGAAGAGTCAGTTGCCGGTCGTTTACTTCTCATCGTTATCATTATCTTTTAAAACATCAATCGTTAAAAAATTCCTTGTTGATATTGTCGTATTTTTTACATGTCATATTATTTCGTTTGGTTTTTGAGTTTGAAATATCCTCGTGTTTCATAATTTTAGCCTTATGACTGCCTTATGACTTTTCTTAATAAAGTATTCCTTTTGCTTTACATGGTATTCTAAACTCTCGTGTTATCCAAGTTTTGCTTTTTCGTGAAATTTTTCATTTACTTGTTTTAAGAGGAAAGCATTAATGGAGTGAAATGAAAGAATGGCCAAAAATAAATTATATTTGTCATTTGTAGCAACAGTTTTGTAAACAGTGTACCATGATTCCTGCCGTAAGTAGTCTAAAAAATAATTTTACTTTTTGAAGACAATCTACTCATATTGTATTATTTAATTTGTCGATGTTTGCATTTATTGTAATTGAAAGAATTCGTGCATCGTGGTCACTGTATCCTTCGACTTTCGTTGCAGTTTCATATCTAATAGTGTTTTTCGTATATATTATTTGTTCGATTGCCTTCTGTGAATTCAGTGAGCTCCGAGTATGTATATTTATTGTAATATCTAAGCTGAAATAATTATTTAAATTGAGAAACTTTTTTTTTTCGCGAGATTCGGCCAAAAAAATCAATGTTAAAATCTCCGCATACAACGATTGTGTTAAAAGAGATTACTGATTTTGTTTAGTTATCTCTAAATTTTCTAAAGACGTAGTGTAACATACAACTCGCTTTGTTGGGGCCTATAGATGCAAAGTAAGATCATATTTATCATACGAAGATGTTTGATAGATATTTAAAAAAACCTTTTTTAACTAAGCACACATCCATCATCCATCAAGGAGGTAGTATCTACATCATTTCTAACTTAAATTCAGGAACCGCCATATGCAGGGCCCTCATTTGATTCCCTTTCTCTCCTGTGAGATAAAAGTTGGGAAAATGCTAAGTTCATTTCGAGTTAACCAATGTTACGTAAAGCAAGGAGTGTCTATATGAGTTATTTCCCACATCATCATGTTGGGTTAAGTCACAATATTAATGATGTATTTTATTGATATATGAAGAAATAATCATTAAATTATTATTTTTGTTATTATGGAACACTTAGGTTATTGATTGAGGAACTGGTCACATGATTGATTTACTTATTTTTGCTGATAAAAACTTCCTCAAGATTGCTGCTTTCGTTAGATGTTGATCACTTGATTTAAATCTGAATCATTGAAAATAATTTTAATTTTACTATTATAATAACAATTACAATTTATAATTAATCATTTGTCGCCGTGATGGTGTAATGGTTAGCGTATCGGACTGTTGTACCCAAGTTGGTGGGTTAAATCCCGATCGACGCCGTGGATTTTTAAGGGCGAAAAATCCTTCGTACGCCGTCCTTTGGAGGAAAAATAAAGCCGGCTGTCCCATGTTAGTAGATTTACTCGCTGTAAAAGATCCTCAAGCCTAAATGACGCCTCTGAGCTAAATTCAAATCGCCTGTTTCCTGGCCCAAGAAATACCTCCTTTCTTCGTTAGTCAGTGAAAGGAGTGTAGCAAAATTTGCGTAGTCAGACGGTAGAGCAGGCCTCATGGCCCGAGTCTCGCCTCGTAAAATAAGGCATTAATTCAATTCAATCCAATTCAAAAAATTACCTCCTGTTATAATTGTTTATTATTCTTGTGGAGAGTAGACACAAATCACGTTATATAAAAATAAGTGAATAGAGTAGTCATAAACATGTAGAATTATTTCTATGGTTATAATTACTATTTCAAAACAATTTGGTATGGGGTGTGCACAGTTAGAGCGATATGGGACCCTGATACATTTAGATACGACTCTGGCAGGTGACACGTCCGTAAGCATCCTGTCTAATCACCTGCACCCATTTATGTCCATTGTGCAACCCGACGGACTCCCGATGGCAATTCTAGCAGAACATGCGACAGCCCACACGTCCAGAATTGCTTCAGAGTGGCTCCATAAACACTCTTCCGAATTTAAACACTTCCGCTGGTCACCAAAATCCCCAGACAAGAACATTATTGAGCATATATGGGATGCCTTGCAACGTGCTGTTCAAAAGAAATCTCCATCCCCTCGCACTCTTACGAGTTTATGGGCAGCCCTGCAGGATTCATTGTGTCAATTACCTGCAGCACTACTTCAGACACTAGTCGGGTCCATGCCACGTTGTGATGCGGCACTTCTCTGTGCTCGCGCGGTCCTACACCATATTAAGCAGTGTACCAGTTTTTTGGCTCTTCAGTGTACTTTACAACACTATTCCAGATGGCATTAAAATCGCTACAAAAGTTTAAGCCCCACGTTTCCTTTGAAAAAATATTTTAATATTTTCTGCTGCGCAACTGTTTCTATACAATTAGAGACTATACCGAGCATCAAACAGGAAAGTAGTAAAAAGAAAATATTTTCCTTCGCGAAGGACATGATGAGGGACAAGAGCCTACATCTATAGCTGATTTGCTAGTGAAAATATATTTTATTGCATCAGAGCGAATATATTGTTAACAATTCTTTCCAAATCTTTTCTCTATTTCTTTCTCTATTCATATTTGAAATTGTATATGGCTTAGGGTTGGCATCCCATAATCCCACCGTCGAGACGGTGAGGTTGGTGCGCTTGCCGGAATCGAATTCCTAGGTCAACCCGTTGGTCCCTGATCCTTTTCAGGCGAATGGCGTTGCAGCATTCTGGAATGCGGACCGTACCGCGCGCCATCTCTCCTCTTCCTATTTCCCGTTCTTAGGGCCGAGTGAAGGGGTAATTACTCATTCTTGAGTCTAGATCTAGATAAAATATCCGTCTAGTGTCAAAGCAGAATTATAAGTAGTGTTGAACCACAAAAAGAGGGAAAATGATACAGTTTGCGTTATGCAGTTGTTTATGTCAATTACGAATTATTGTAAATGAATATACACTATATAGTCCAATCATTTTATTCGTTATTAAACACTACATTTAACATTTTCTTTGTTAATTATTGAGAATTCTAGTCAATAATATTATTGATTTAACTTATTGATTCATCTCCATTCACTTCACGTACTCCGTCTTATCGTATTGTAATAGGAACCCTGAAGAATATATACGACGCATTCCAATGTGGTGTGTACGTCATTAATTACGAATACGTTATTAATTACGAATCCGACCACTCAATGAACTACTGAATTCGAAAGTGTCCTGTGTACATGTATAATATAAGAAAGGGGATAGGGATTCCAGGCTTCAGAAAACGTACGAGAATGAACTTCCTCCATAGGTCACATGCATTGTGTTTACTACTTTCTACGTTACACAAACACATATTTATTTAAACATATTTTTAGTTTCAGAACGGATGCAGTGCAGAAAGGAGAATGTAAAATGCACCCCTGTCAGATAGTTACTTCTCCTACTGCAGAAAATATGATCTACATGAAAGGTAAGAAATATATATATTTTCCATTCACCATATATCTTTTCATTTAACAAATAAAAAAGTTAGTTCTTCTGACCAATTTAATTGAAGTTTTTTATTTCAAAAACAACCGTAGTCCAAAGACAATTTTTCACGAGAGCGAAAAAACATTCCATGACGGCACTGGCTGACTTTTGAAGCACAAAAAGTGTTGTGCACTACCTCAAGCTATTTTAAATACTGACGAACGCTTGAGTGTAGTTCAAGATTGAACTGTATTGTGAACATTATTGGATAAAATGGAATTTGTATGGACTATGGTGGACTTTTCAAAACATTGAGAAATTTGTATGTCAACATTATTTATTTTGGGCAGTATTATGACAATATTTCAAGGACTAATGCAATAAGTTAATGCACTTAATCAATTTGGAATATTATTGACCAACTTATGGTTTTTCGCCACTGCTGTTATCATCATTATCAGTGTTTTCGTTTTCCACATTAGCATCTGCTACTGATGACAATATTAGATTCAAATCTCTGTTAGCAGATAACTTCAGATATTTATACAACTTCTGAAGATTCCTCTGTGATTAAAATGTGCTTTTCCTTTAACTTTCTTTGCTCTTACTGCGTCCTCGTTCCTCTCTTTCTTTGGATTACATCTCTTCCACTCTGCTCTTTCTACATCTGTCGTAGAAGCCATTTCTTAGCTGTTACTTTCTCCCTTGCTTGTTCAGATTCATAACATAAAGGACGTATATACCACAAGAACTGGTTATACACTATCACCAAACTTCCAGAACAAAAATATTGGTTATTCAGAAAAACCACATTCACACACCAAACATTATTACCTGCGGCAGATTGAGATGAGCTATGGTTGAGAAATAATCACGAAGAAATTTTATATTTAAAGAACTATGGTTCTTTTGCCAAAAATGATTCTGAACAATGGTTCTTTTATCAAAAGTACTCAAACTTTTGGACCTAATAACTACAGACAGGAGCTGATTTTGTTCACAACACAGTCAGCAAATGGCGGCTATAAAGTAACAACAGTTCTAGTACATCAAAAGCTCACGTGTAGGACTAAGGTTTTTTTTTCAAAACAATCTTCAAAGATTATAAACAAGCATTACCAATACAAATATAAACTTCTGAAGTTACAATAGCACATACCTTGTCACATTATTTCTAACTTTAGGAATTTTCTAAAACTCCTGTAGTGCGACGAAAGTGACCATTTTCTTAGACGTTCTTTGCTTCATCAAAGAGAAAAATAAAGAGAAAATATAACTTATTTCAGATATCTGTCTTTGAAGAACAGTTTTCATGGAAGGAATAGTAGTGCTACAACAGCACATAATTTCTCGCATTACTTCCAAATTTGCACTTTTCGAATATCAAGAGAGAGTCAATGAAAACGAGATCTATGCCACTCTTTCACGCGTCCCATATTCTATACTGAAAAAAAGAAGAACAATTAGGAGCGGTTTTTAAGAATTATTTAAATAATTTGCATTATTTTTGGGCAGACATTTTGCGAAAAATACTCTTTTTTTCTAAAAATTGTACATGACCCTTTTAAAAGATCTGATATTTTTCAGAACAGATATCATTTAAGACAAAAATTTAGATCTTCAATATTGTACTTTTGCAATGTTAACTTTTTGCAATTTTGGAAAATACAGAGAGTTTGCCGAAAATGGGACTAGTACCAGTCGTTACACCGTCATTGATACGTACTAAAAGAAACTTTAAAGAAAACATTTGGAACCCATTTGTTTAAAATATTTAAAAATTGCCTGTTTCATGCAAAAGTGCGTGAAAATCAATGATATTTTCGAAAAATGGTCTATGACGTTATTACAAGACCTGTTGTTAAAGAATGGATTTCTTTAAGAAAATAAATCTATATCTTTAATATTGTAATTGTCGGAAGGCACTGAAAAAATTTTAAACTTTTGCAATTCTCCAAAAATCAGGGATTTCAACGAAATTATCACTTGCACCATTCTTTCCTTAAAAAAAAAGGTGCATTGGCGTGGTTTACGTTATCCAACGACAATGCTAACCCAAAATGTTTGACATTTGTGAGAAGATTGTGATAATATTGAGTTTTTATATAAAGAACTCCCAACAAAACTCTAACAACATAAACTCTAGAACATTTGTTCTAGAAAATTAGATCTTTAAATGAAGACGTGTACTTTAAAAAAATAGTTTTAGTGATACTTCTGGTTTAATTTTAATTCAATTGATGCAACAAGTTTTTAAAAACTGCTCCAATTTTTGCGTTTTTCCATGTTTAGAATGAAGAACACTTAAAAATGGTGTATGTCTAATGTTCGTTGAATTTCCTAAATTTTTGAAAATTGCAAAAGTAGTAACTTATGTGAAAAAGTATTTAATGTATTGCAGCACAACCGTTTTGGTACTATCCATATCGGTTCCTTGGGGTAGCCTTGGCAATTTCTCTTGTACGTTGTGTTCCACCGGCCAATATTTATTAATTTTATTTATTTATTTTTATCGTAAAATACCGTGTGATGTTCTATGGGGAGAAGGTATTCTGTGCATGTTTAATTTAAGAAAATTCTGTGATACCTACTCTAAAACATCTACACATCAATATTACTCTGTCACTACTACATCACTCTACAAGTTGAATTATGAATATACGTCTGTCTATAAAATCTTTTTTTTAAACATCAGATTTTATTAACAACAAACATTTCTATATTAAATATTGTAGTTATAGGTAGAAGTCTAAAAAAGTTTGAACTTTTGCAATTTTCGAAAAATCAGATATTTCAACGAAAATTAGATTTGCGCCACTTTTAAGCGTCCTTTATGCTATTCGAGTACGAAATTAACCAAAATATTTGGAGAGTTTTTAGAAAATTTAGAAAATATTACAAGTCGCGAATTCTGCCTACATGTGTTAAAGGATGTTAAGATACCGACATGCGTCGCTGTGAGGAGATGAACATTTTTAAGTCGCCGGCAGTTCTAAACAGCATCCAGTGGTTATGGTCTCTAAAAATGAAACAATTAGATTGTCATCACACGCCGGCGTTAGAATCAGATTTTCAACACTTAGGTATTTCAAGAAAGATTCTGTGTCACCTGTCTTGACGTTATTTTTAAGTTTCCTCCCAATTCCGCGTGCATACATGTGCGTGCTCTCGGAGAGAAATATTTTCGTCGCCGCAAAGGAATATCGATAAAGCAATGAGCCGTTGGCAGCGTCGAGCTAGGCGAAAATGTCTTCTGCTTCGTGCGCGATACGATTGACCATCATTATGCTCGGCTGTCGATTTAAAAAATGCGAACAAACGGCGTTTTAATTGGAATAGGCTATTGTTCCGAGAATTTGTCTACCGCCTCGACCTGGACAGTGCTGCGTCCTGCTAGCACGCTGCCAAGTAGTTTGTAAATGCATTTCCTTAGATACATTGTTTCACACTCTGCAGTGAGATTCGCGGGTTTTCGAAGGAGAATTACACTGAGCAATGACATATCTTGAGCGCGGGATGCTTGAAATTCACGATCTTAGCTCTTAATTTTCGCCAAGGAGAGCTTATAATTGTTTATTTGAGGTTCGGCGCGAAATTTGAATGAATTTTGGCGCATATGTGGTAACAGGAAATTATTTACTAGGAACAATATTTATGGACTTTTTCAATACCAGGGCCCAGCAATATGAGCTTGTCTGTCGAAATCAATTTCGGGTGCAGAATTATAATACTTTCTCTTTGCTACGTAGGCACGTAGTAATACAAGAAAATAAATGTAATCAAATATAATTTAAATATTATATATCTTAATATAATAACTTAATATACTAACTTATTACGAGTATCCTATTACGTGAGGGTTTGCGTCCTACGTGTCGCTAGAGAACTTGCATAACAAAAGATACCGTAACTAAGGGTTAAACATTCTTCATGCCCTTTGAACATTTCCTAGTACCAAAGTCATATAATGTTCAGCTGCTCTGAGTTTTTTAGCTTTAAGTTCCCATAATACATGGAGTTCCCATTACAGTCGTAAACATTTTCACGTTGCAGTTGATGGAAAAGAAATTCCCGTTCGGGAAGTGACGCGTTCTCGAGCATCTCGGGAGCAGGCTGGTGATGGTACTAATATAGTTTACTCGAGCCGACAGCAGCAACAGCAACAACAGCAACAGCAACAGCAATCGCAACAGATGCATCAGATGCAGCAACAAGTGTCTTTGTCGCATTCTATGCAAGGAGGAGAAACGAGTAGAGATGTGAAGAGAGGTGTTCTCAGTCAACTGATCGAAAAAGTGAGTATGATTAAGATTTGAAAATTGTTATAATTATTGAAGTTTTATGTGGCTTATTTTTCAGAAAGAATGAGTCATTAAAATATTTCAAATTAACCCCCGAACAATACTTAGGTATTACGTATACATTCTTGATCGATGATTTCTCATAATCTGTTTTTCATATGAAGATTTTTGTAAATGAACATAGTTGCAGGTCAAACAAAAAAGCATGGATAAAACTACAAAGTACTAATACAAATTCATTTAGAGGTCGGAAACACTGGGTTGAAGGCTCAAACTTCTCCCTCCCATTTTAATTTTTCGAAACGTAGATTATAATATGAACGAAATTTCAGTGTCAGTGGAAAAATGTTTTCAAGAGTTGAAATTGAAAGTTTTACAATACAATCATTCAAATTAGAATTGCGTGCCCGTAATTTTATTTTTTGTCTCATAAAAAGTTGGGTCACAAAATTGCATAGACATGGAGGACAGCAGACTTTGTGCCAAATGAAACAAAAAACTTTTAGTTGGCCAGGGCATGAGAATTGGGACATTTCGTCTTGAACACCAAGCGATCAGTCGGATGAGACCTAAATAAACTACAAACACGGAGGACAGCAATACGAAGAGAGCCAGATCACTACCTCCCAGAAATCAAGTGCGTTGGGAACCAGTAGTTGCGAGTTTCGGGCGAGCAGAGTAACTGGTAGACTGTGACAAATTTAGAGAACAACGGCAAAAAAGAGAATATCCAAACACGCCTTAGGGGAAGATATCAATGCAAACATTAGGAAACCGAGTGAATTGTGGGGGAAAGAGGAACTAAAGAAATCACACTAGCGGTGAAAAGACGACTGCGAAGAATTAAGGTTAAAAAAACCTTGGAGGGAATGAAGCAACTGTAATGGACCCCGCTACACAATTTTTGCCGTGCCGCTGTGAGTCACACTATCATAGATCTGACTCTCTCATAGAAAACTGTTGAGATTTAAACACTTTTCTTATTTAAGTGATGAACCAAGCCAAATGAATATGTTCTGAGTAATAATTGTAATAAAAACTTTATTAATAACGTGTTATAATTGAATAAAAACGTAACATTTGTACTGTTTTTCCTCTCAATGAAGATTTACCAACAAAATTTCTTGCAAAATCACTATGAATTACAAAGTTTTTAAATTTTATTGTGTCTGAGTGCACTTAAGTAATATAACTTAGGGTTGTCCAAATTTGAAAAAAAGTGATTATTCTAAAATGTGATTTGTTAGTAGATCTGATGTTGAGAGAGAGAGAGAGAGAGAGAGAGAGAGAGAGAGAGAGAGAGAGAGAGAGAGAGAGAGAGAGAGGGACTTGAAAGCTGTAAATTTTTGGGACATTGCCGGAGAGAGCTCCGGCAAAAAAACCTTACGGTAATGGGCACAATTTTCGTAGCAATATGATAGTGAAACGTCGTGCCAAGGGGCCAGATGGACAACACATGTCGGAAGGCCAGCGAGGGGGCGGGGGCAGTCCTTTGGCGGCAAGCGGAAGGCCACCAGAGGCGGGCCCTCCTCAAGGGCCGGGAAGGGCGAGGCTAGGAACGCGGGTGTCAACTGGCGCAGAGGGAAATGATGGGTGAGTCCAGCCGCGGTGCAGCTGGACTCCAAAATTGCAAACAGGCCCACGTTTCGGGATGAGAGGACGCCGCCGGCATGGGAGGTCTGTCACGTGACCCCTCGCGAGGCGGCTGGAGGGTAACCAGCCGTGGTCATTCGAGTTTGAACCGAATCGCGGTGCGAAAGGCACATTTCACCCGCCAGGGGTTATCGCGAGCTTCGGCAGCGAGGTGTGGCGGTTGCCACGGGACAAAAGGTCATGAGTGGCGCCAAGCCGCTGGGGTCTTCGTCAGGCTGGGGCGGGGATGCCTCAGAGATGTGCAGTGCTGGGAGTGGAGCGCGTTTCCGAGGAGTATGTATATTGTGTAATAAAACTGTATAAACAACTCCGTGTCTGTGTGTTTCTCGCAAATCGGGACATTTGCCGTCTCGAAATTTATTTGTCGGGACACCGGGACAGAAGGAAGAAAATCTTTGAAAACCGGAACTGTCCCGGGGCGTCTGGTGCCCCTATTACAGGAACACTTTCGATCAGTAACAAAAAAGTAAACATACATTACATAAGCCCGGTACCATTGGCAAATAACAAATATGAACCATCCGCTGCAAGAAGCCTGAGTCACCAGACGTCTGAAATTGTGAGTAGAAGAGCAGTGCTTGTCCAGGACAGATACAGCTTTTTCAATCATTAAAGAGGAAGAGCTATCTGATTTGAAGTCAAATGAACTCGTATTCTCAGGGTCAACATATAATTCCATGCCTTCTGCTCTAATTTCTGTAAAAAACGAAAATGACCAATTTTGGACTAGTACGGTTTTCCCACTCGTCTAGACAATTGTTAATTCAGTGTAATATTAAAATATTTGCCTCTTACATTATGTATTTCATCAAAACTTTGAAAAGGCTATAACGTCGAGAATGATTAAATCTAGTGGTGCTACAACAGCATATACATCTTATTATTTCTAAGAGCTCCATCATATTACACTACGACATATAATGAAATAGTGTTTTCATCCGGAAAAATAATTTTTCACGCCGAGACTCGAACTTTGGTACTCTAAGTTACATATCTGTTCAAATTATTAGACTCACTGTCGATTTCACCAACACTTTTCTGTTAGAAAAGACGCTCCGTTAACTTAGAAGATTTGTCAACAAACGTTTGTTGATTTTTTCTCCTCGTACACAGGTTGGCTACAATGTCAATTTTTAATATATTTAGAGATCATGTATATCTTCCTAATGAACGAGGTAAAAAAATGAATAACAAAATAAGTTGCATGAAGATCAAGCAATTTTTAAAATCTATCAGTATTTACAATTTGATTTTAAGACAAATGCCAATACTAATGTAATGCAATATATGTATTCAAGAAGTCGCTGATGACCTTAATGTTATAAAGTAACTTAAAATAAATAAAATAAAGAAGTTTCCATAATTCAGAAAATGATTCTATAATTTACCAGCGCGTTTGTTCCGCCAAATTCACAGCTTTCCCTCGCTGGGAACTTATCATCGGGTCCACAATGCATGAGGCGTGCGACAACCCGTTCTGAAGGTCACTCGCGTTTCCGTTTCCTTCCTCGCCCATACTTCGTAAGAAGATAAAGTATCATATGCTGGAAAACGATGAATTCTTGACCGAAAAACTCTTATCACTTTCGTACCGTAAAATGGGTTAAATCTTGTTCCTACAGTCAGTAACATTAATATTTGGGAAAGCCCTCTTTGCTCTTCGTAAACTAATTTCAGGTGCATATTTTATTTATTTACTTTTTTACGTCAAAAAAGTTAAAAACAGTTGATTGGGAAGTTGATTTAAAGTTACATTTACAATATATGATCAAAAGTATCCGGACACGTGGCTGAAAATGACTTCAGTGATAACAGTTCGTGGCGCCCTCCATCGGTAATGCTGGAATTCAATAGGGTGTTGGCCCACCCTTAGCCTTAATGACAGTTTCCACCCTCGCAGGCATATGTACTTTCAGTCAGGTGCTGGAAGGTTTATTGGAGAATGGCAGCTCATTCTTCACGGAATACTGCACTGAGAAGAGGTATCGATGTAGGTCGGTAAGACCTGGCACGAATTTGGCGTTCCAAAACATCCCAAAGGTGTTCAGTAGGATTCAAGTCTGATCTCTGTGCAGGCCAGCCCATTACATGGATATTATTGTCGTGTAACCACTCCGCCCCAGGCCGTGCAGTATGAACAGGTGCTCGATCATGTTGAAAGATGCAATCGCCTTCCCCGAATTGCTCTTCAACAGTGGGAAGCAAGAAGGTGTTTAAAACATCAACATAGGCCTGTGACGTAATAACACCCGACCAAACAAGGAGTGCAAGTCCCCTCCATGAAAAACACGACCACACCATAACACCATTTTGGACGTGTACAGATACTTTTGATCACATAGTGTATGTCCAGAAGCAAAACAAGGAGCCATCTCAACATTTGCTCAAGGATCAGAGAAACGACGTAAACCTGATCGTGATTGGGGTTATTGACCCAGTCAGTGAAGTACAATATTTGTGACAGGTTCTTTAGAATTATAAATCCAAATGGTAAATAATACATTAAATGTCATTATTAAAAATAATATTTCTTTCCTTTTGGATGCTCGGTATAGTCTCTAATTGTATAGAAACAGTTGTGCAGCAGAAAATATTTTACTTGGTACTTAAACTCTTATATCGAATTTAATCTTTTAATGACATCTAGCAAGGTGGTATAAAGTACATGTATTGTCTGTGAGGTTTTTTGTAGTGTTCTGTTGATACTGTCATCTGATGAATACGATCTCATAATATCAAACTGAATAATACAATTATATATCCATTAAAAAGGAACAGCTTATTTTTGGCATCTCTTGCAAAGTTCGGATGGGAAGGTTCCCAGAGATCAATATTACGGTCATTTGCTAATTTACACATCTATGAAATCGTATTATTTGATTATCAAAGTGTATAGTTTAAGCGAAGAAAATTAATTTCTTTTTGAAGCAGAGGGAACACGAAATTAAATTGTTTCAACAAAAGGGAACAATAATTCACTTCATGGACTAATTTGTATAAAAAATAGAGCATTGTAGTTTCTCTACGGATAATGTCTAACCGATGCGTAATAGAGAAATACTCGTGATTTATAAATGGATCAGGTAAATGTATGCGATTTGTTGCAGTTCTAAAAAAATATGTTGGACAGTTTCTAATGTTTCAACATGGGTTTGAAAAGATGGGAACCATACTACTGATGAATACATCAAAATAGGTTTGACTGGCACTAAATACATTTTCAATGTATGAAGTTCATGTACTTCTTTACAAGTCCTTCTAATGAAACCCAGTTGTTGATTAGACTTGTTAGTTGTAGGATCTTTATAGTGAGAAAATGTCATTCTTGAATCAATAAT